CTATTGCATTGTGGGACTGCACGGAATAATATGTCTTGTCTATAGCAAAGTGTTTGCTAAAGTATCTTGGCATTAGCAGTAGACAAGTGGAGAGAATGCTCATTCAATGCGGATATCACAGAATTGTTTGGGATCACTAATACTTAGGAGGCAGAAAAAAAAAAGACAAAGCTACCTTGGTAGACAAAAAAAAAAAAAAAAAAAGACTGAAAAAGCCCCATTGGATACAAAGACAATGTTCTTCATTTTGTAACCTAAAAACAATGGGCATTAAACTGGGAAATTGGATATGACAATAATATGAAAAATATTTGGAATAGTACTTCACCAATGGAATATGATTTCATTAATGTGAAGTGACTCCAAAAAAGGCAGATGCAACATTAGAGAGTGTCAAAAGGACTATAGATTCAAAATTCTCACTTTATTCAATGTTGTATCTCAAGTATGTCATCTATTTCTACTTTTAGAAGTATTCAAACAAAATTGAAAAGGTATAGAGACTATCATCAAGGACAACAAGAGCCTAAGAAACCAAGTAATATGAAAAGAGCTTGAAGGAAATGGGAATATTTATTCTAAAAAGATGGCTGGGAGAGGTAAGAATATGATAGCATTCTTCAAATACTAGAAGGGATGCAACATAGAAGAAAACTAATTCTTTTACTCTAATGTACAGGCTGTGGAATAATGGATTTAGCTAAAGGTAGATTTTATGACTGAATATTAATATTTTTTTTGCAACAATAAGATCAGGCTGAGAATAGAATTGCTCATCCTGAGAGGTAGTAGTCTCCCCTTCACTGGAAACATCAAAATAGAGACGGGATAGTCAATCACAGAGCATTCTTTAATGTATGCTCCAGCACAGGGCTGCTGGTGGTCCCTTCCAACTCTCTGATGCTATGACTACATGGCATATTATTAGACTGTCTCCTTATTCTGCTCATATGTGATGAGTTCATATGAAGTTGAAACAAGCCTCTCTTAGAAGATGCAAGAACCAGAGAATTACTTTATTAAAAAAATAGTTTAAAAAATTAATTAGATATAAAATAGCATGAGATGGGACACACTTTGGAAGTTTTAAAGGGACGTCAGAGCTTTGGATCAGATTGAATGAAACAGAAGGAGGGACGTCTAGGAAAAGGGAGAACAATTTTGAGTTTTTTGACCAACTCCTGAAGATGACCTTAAAGAGAGCAGTGCCACTCTGTTTTTTTCCCCAGATAAAAGTTCCAAACAAACTCAAGAATAGCATAATATCGCTACAGAAAGTAATTACAAAAATTAAGACTACAATATCACAAACACTCGAGACTATATTAACGTTATTAATATTTCATGTGAAAAAGATATGCATAGAATTACACTGTAAGATATAAATCTACACATGCTCAGATAACAATAAGATTCATTGCATTCACTTTAGACATATAAAATGAGCCCCATGGCAAGCCTCTTGAGTTGCCCATCACCCTATAAGAGTACTCACACCTGTACTAGATGAAAGCAAAGAAAGGTTTTGGTATTGTTCTGCAATCCTCTAGTGCAGTGTGTCGGGACCCCATTTGGGGTCGAACGACCATTTGGGGTCGAACGACCATTTCATGGGGGTCGCCAAACAAGGCTGTCCGCCATTTTTTCCCCTTTTCTTTGGCCACGCTCCTGGCACCCGGTGATGTATAAGTGGTTGGGGGTCACCACAACATGGGGAACTGTATTATGGGGTCATGGCATTAGAAAGGTTGAGAACCACTGCTCTAGTGGTCAAGTGGATGTTTGTACCCAGATGCTATTCCCTCTCCCTTCATTTTTTTTTTTCATAAGCAGAAAAAGATAGGAAAAAAAGAAGATGAAAAGAGTCATTGGAAATGGTCACTGGGAAAATCATTGGAGCTTCTGAAGGCTTCATTTCCAGTACGTGAGGTTGAGGAATCAACTAACTTTGGAGTAGCAATGGAGAAAGTGATAGTAGCACCAGCAGGAGCAGGAGCAACTCTATCCTTATCTTCTCCCTTCTTCATTTTTCATTACTACTTACTATGGCTCCTATGAAAGCCCTGCATTTGGGCTGATAGCTGAAAATGCAAGTGATCTGCAAGCTCTGATAGTGAAAGTCAAGAAACACCATAAAAATGGAACTAAGATTAAATATAAAAAAGATCAAACTGATAATAGTTACAGCGAGCAACCTTAGAACTAACAGTGAAGATATTGACCTGGTAGATAGCTTCTGCCTGTTAGGATTGACTGTTAACTGTGAAGGAATCAGCAATCAAGAGATACTAGCTTTTGGTAAAGCAGTAATGAAGGTTTTGGAAAAGATACTTAGATGTTTTGATACATCTGTGCCTGAAGAACTGGGTAACTAATGGCTTTCCCTTCAATATTTTATGGAAGTGAAAACTGGAATTTCAAGAAGCAGAAGAGCATTGAATAGAAAGAGTACTGAGCTTTTGAACTTTGGTGTTGGAGAAGGCTCATGAGAAAACCATGGATAGTTAATAGAGTCAACAAATGGACTGTAGAACAAGTTAAATCGGAGTTCTCACTCAAAGCAAAATTATCAGGCTCAAATTAGAATATTTTGGACACATCATGTAAAGACCCTGCTCTCTAGGAAGATTCATAATCTTGTGGTAGTTAAAAAAGAGGATGACCAGAATCAAATTGAGTAGACTCAACTACAGTGCTGATGAGTACCTCACTTGAAGATCTGAAGGATCAGGTTAACGACAGATGACCCTGGAGAAAATCTATCTTTGTGATTGGTAAGAGTCAACACTGAATTAATGACATGATATTTATCACCATTTATAGAGATAATGAGATAAGGGAGGGAATAAGGGAAAAATAGCAAGGAGCAGAAGAAATGGTTTATTCGTTTTGAAAAAAAAAGTAGGCAGAACAGGTCAAAAATAAACCATTTTTATTTAAGCTTCACTTGCAACAAAAATGTTTGATTCTGAAGGCTTTGGTCCACAAGGAATCAACTGGAACATTCCTTAGTCCCTGAAAACTGCTGTTGTTTTGAGGAAAGAATATCAGGCTTAGATTTCATCTTCAACTGCTTCTGCAAATCATATATTAGAATAGTGCACACTTCCTATGAGTACTTTGAACCTCCCAGAAATACAGCTATTCATTAGAAGACGCTTTCAGTGTCTGTAAGTTACTGCAATGGAGGTAGTGACAGATTTTATCTTCCTGGGCTGCAAGATCACCACAGATGGGGACCGCAGCCAAGAAATTAAAAGACACTTGCTCCTGGGGAGGATAGTTATGGAAAATCTAGACAGCATACTAAAAAGCAGAGACATCACTCTGCCAACAAAAGTACATATAGTCAAGGCCATAGTTTTCCCAGTTGCAATGTATGGCTGTGAAAGTTGGACCATAAGAAAGGCTGAGCGACAAAGAATTGAGGCCTTTGAACTATGGTGCTGGAGAAGACTCCGGACAGTCCCTTGGACTGCAAGGCATTCAAACCGGTCAGTTCTAGAAGAGATCAACCCCGACTGCTCTTTAGAAGGCCAGATCCTGAAGTTGAAACTGAAATATTTTGGCCACCTAATGAGAAGGAAGGACTCGCTGGAGAAGAGCCAAGTGCTGGGAAAGATTGAGGGCAATAGAAGAATGGGACAACAGAGAATGAGGTGGCTGGATGGAGTCACTGAAGCAGTAGGCGTGAGCTTAAATGGACTCCAGAAGATAGTAGAGGACAGGAAGGCCTAGAGGAACATTGTCCATGGGGTCGCAATGGGTTGGACATGACTTCACAACTAACAACAACAATAAAGTTACTGCAATTTTTAAAGTAGAGGCCTGCAGAAACCTGAAAAAAAGTTGCTGATTTTAATGTATGTTGATAGGTAATTGCCTTATGTGATTCATTTGATTGATGTTATTTTCAAAACATTCACAATCCCATTGCACATCAAATCACAAGTTCAGACGTATATAGTCCTGAAACCTTTTCCCCTTGTAAACCTTGCACAAACTATATACCCTGAGATAATTTCTTTATCTTGAAAGCTTTCCCTCCTTTAAACCTCATCTCAGAGCAAATCCTCTCCTTCCCCTTGCACGGGATTTAACCCTGCAGACTTAATCAGTGCTATAAATGGCGTGCATGGCCTTTCACATTTATAAACTGTACTGAGGCTCTTGAGAGACTGCCCTCTTCACTTTGTGAGATATTGGCTTCAGCGATAGGAATGAAATCCCAGATATTGCTGTGGCCATAAGCCTTGCGCACTTCGCTTACAGCAAATTGCCACGAAAGCAAACAAGCATGCTTCAAGGAAGGCTGTGACACGTGGGGAGAAATGTATGGGAAGAAGGTACCCGGTTCTAAACAAGAGGGCTTGCCCTTGCGTACCATTCTTCTTCCCTGGCTGATTTTCCCTTGCAAAGCATGAACCAGTGGGCGCTGTGGGTCTGTTTTTAAGAAAATGATTTTTGACATTCCTTTCCTCAAGATGAGCCCTTCTATTCCGATTACACCGTCGTTGCTGGGAAGTTTCCCGGGGTTCACCTGGCCATCGCGTTTCCAAACTGTCCGCCTGGTGGCAGCAGGGTCCCGCCGCAGAAGTTCTTTTAACAGCAAGTGTTAATACAATTGACCAATCAGTGCTAAGATGATGGGAGGTAATTGGGTAATTGTATTTTACATTTGATCACAAGCGGGGGGGGGGGAAGGGGGAGAAGAAGGAGGGTAAGAAAAATTCATTGTGTATATGTATGAATGCGTGAACCTGGCGGGGAAAGGGAACGACCATTGGAAAGTATGTGGGGGGTGGCGGCGGGGGTGAAAAGATCGGCCCGGGTCAGCTCGTGTATCTCGAGGTGCGATTGCAGAAAAGAAGCGCGAGAAAGCCAGCGTTGCCCTCCGCGGCAACTGCTGGGAAGCGGATTCTTTATTTACTTGTCCCCCCTCTCTCCTCACCCCAGCGGGCGGAGGAGTTCAAACCGGAGCTGACGGCTGCGAAGAAAAGCGGCTGCAGCTGCGCGGAGGGCTGCGCGTTTCTGGAGCGAAGGTTGGTGGTGTCAAAGAAGATCCGCGGCGGCCGACTGCCTCGCAACGAGCCCTCGAGGAGGGAAGGGGCTGACCTGGGGAGGAGGAAGAGGGGAGCCGGAGGGACGGTGTCTTAACTTGTAGATCGGAGGGTCGCTAAGCGGATTTGGAGCTGCTGGGGGGAAAAGACTGTTGGAGAAATACAGTGCTTGCCTCTCACCGGCTGCCTCGCCACCTCCCACTTTAGCTTTCTTTTGAGTATCCCAAAGAACACATTTTCCTCTCCGGCACCCCTTCTTCCTCGCGGCCCTCTAGCAGGCTGGCGGCAAAAATGGAGAGGAAGGCGAAATGAATAGGAGAAGTCCCCGGTTGGCAAAATTCACGGGAACCTGACGAATCGCGCCTCTCCGGGGAATCAGCGGGTTCCGACAAGGGAGTTCTTTTGAACGCCGGGGGTGACCTGAATGAGGAAGAAAGGAGGAAAATGTAGCGAGGGGAGCGCGGGAAGAGGTGGGTGAAAGCCGCCCACTTCAGGTGTTTTGAAGAATGACAGATTGGTTTTGGACAGGTGGTGGGAACCTTGCTTGCTCGCTCGCTCGATCTCGTCCTCCCCCCCTACTCTCCCTCCCTCCCTCCCTCTTCCAAGCTCGCTCCCGAAGCCGACGCCACTGTTCGCCTCAGCGTCTCTTTCCATTTGATGCCAGGCTCTGAAAAACGCGGAGGAGTTGGAAGGAAGGCGAAGGGATATAGTAACGTGGAGAGTTGGGCTTGCTGGCTCCTGGCTGAAATAAAAAATCCCATTGCGCACTGGGTTGTGATTGGAAATCTAATCAGATCCTTGAATCGGCGGAGACGGGTGGGAGGGCTGTGAGGGTGGCGAGAAAAACCCTAAAGTTGGTTGGGGAAAAATGATGTGAGAGGCTGCTTCTGTGAGAAGAGGGAATCGGAGCGCCGAGATCATGGGAACCCCCGATCTGTGGTGGCAGCACATGGACCGGAGAATCGTGTGTGCGGCTAAGAGAAAAGGACGCGAAGGATCTTCCCTGGCTCCCGCTGGATCTTAGCAGAAAGACCCAAAAGAAGAGAAATCGCCTCCAACGGGCGGGCTGAGGAGTCATTGCGGAGGCTGGGAGAAAAAAAAAACAGTCGGCAAAATCTTTCCTTCGGAGGATTCGAAGGAGTTAAGTGTTGGAGAGAGGGAGAGGCGCAAAGATCCAGGACCTCACGAGAAGATCCGGGCAAGAATGAAAAGTTTCTCGACGAAGAAAGACTCTTTTCGTCGAACTGGTGGTTTTTGGTTTTCCTTTCCTCGTTTTCTTTCCTGAAGCCTTCCCCCCCCCCTCCTCCAATCTCGTCCGGTCCGTTTGTTCCCGGAAGAAGAAAGAAGTTGATACACGCAGGGACATTTGAAAACAGCCACGTCCTAATAGTGACAGTCGGGGAGGGGGAACGAGGAAGCCGGGAAAGAGAAGTATCGTGTAAAGGAAGGTAGAAGGGAGAAAAAAAAAAACAACAGCAAGGCTTGGAGCTCTTTTGGACCGAACTAGATGGAAAATTGCAGATGGATATTTAATTTCCTATCTTTTTTTCCTCCCATCAAATTGGATCTGTTGCCGAGATGATGTAGTTTTGCCATCGGCGCTGGTGCTGCCTGGTTTTGGGTTTTTTTGTTGTTTTTTTTGTTTTATTTTTCTTTTCAAACACCCCCGCCCCTTTTTCTTCTTCGGAATTTCATTCTGGATATCCTTCTTTTGCTCCTGGGTGATTTCAAATACAGTGAGTGTCACATTATTATTATTTTTCCCTGTGTCTTTATGCTTGCCCTTATTTTATTTTTTTTTAAAAAGTGATGGAGTTGAGGGGTGATTTATGTATTTGAAGGCTAGGAGAGGCCAAAGGAGAATTGAAATCCTGACTCGGATTGTGGGGAGGGAGGTACTTGGATGGGGGTGGGAAAGGGAAGGGAAGGGAATCAATCTTTGGGTAACCCTCTAGCTATCCTTTCCATTCATTCTCTAGCAAAGAAAAGCAGTGCCTGTCATTCTGCAGTATCTGGCAATGTAATGCTTGATTTACCAACTGGCCCAAGGCTGCCAAATTCATCACCATTGCATAACAGTCTTCTCCAAACCCAAAATAAGGTGGACGACAAGTTTCCATCATCTATAGAATGGCCATATCTGGTGGCTCAAGAGTAGGAAGTAATAGGAGTTGAAATCCAGTATGTCTGGAAGGCACTAGGTCTGGTTTGGAAGGTCAGCCCAAAGAGTTTGGTGTGAGGAGAGTCAAGTAGGGGAAGAAATGGAAATGATGGCAATGTCACCATCTGAAGAAGTCTTTGCAAGGGAAAGGGTAATAATGAAGCATGATTATCAGGCAATCCAGGGAAAGATGATTCTGAGATGGTGGCACAAGTGATGCACTTGACAATCTGTATCCAAAGAAGGCATGTGAGGGAGACCTTTCCTCAATTGTCTCCCAGAGCTTTTATTCTACTATGATTTGATGGCAAATCCTCTCAGTTTCCCCAGACCATGTCTGTGGCCGTGTGGGTCCTCATAAATGACACTCTCTTGAATTTTGTGTATATATCTTATTGTTTTGATATTTAGCTTTCCGTGTTACACTAGATGCAGTGTGGTTTTAAAATGAAAGCGTAACATTGATCCTATGCACGTCCACTAAGGAAATAGGATTGCACATTATGTTCTGTACTCCTATATAATTGGGAGGGACTTTGGATCTCTTTGTACAGTCTAATTATCCATGGTAGCTTGGAGCATCATATATTCAATTAATCCAATTTTCTGGATCCATGCAGCAAAGCCATCAATTAACAACAGGGGTGAAGTTTACACAACACACCAGGTTCAAATAATGTAGTGGTTGGACAAAACTAGACTGCAATTGTAACCATTTCACAAGTTGGAAAAACGAGTCTGAAAAGTTTTTACTTTCCACTGAGAAAGTTGATTTTTGGTCCTTTTGTCTTATTAATTACAGGAGAGCATTTCATAGTTGTAAAAAATGTAGTGTATAGACCCAGAAGAGGACACAGAAGAGGACAAGATATTTTTAAGGCTATTGCTATAACTAATCACTTTCCATTAGATAATTTTCTTTTGAGCATTGCTATTTACCATTTAAACATATGTTTCCTTCTCACATGTGGCTTTCCTGATCTTGCATCCATGGGCTGAAAATCAAAATGTCTACACACATACCAAAATATTTAATCAAATTGGGGAGATCTGCTTTTCTGTAAAAGCAATACCGTCACAGGTAATGTGTCTTTCTAAATATCCTCTCTCCAAGATTTTTTTTAATTGTAATCTTACAAGAGCAGAAGCATTTTATCAGTTTTTCCCCATTATGTTATTTAGAGATGACTTCTGAACTTATTTGATAATCTGTCAATCCAACAACATCATTATTTCTGACAGTTTCATTCAGCTATGAGGAAAAAAATAATTAAATCATCTATTTATAAAAGTTGTGCTATATGGGGTTGTGTCCTGTCTCCTAAATATTAGATACATAAAATATAGTTAACTTTGAGCCATGTTCTCAGAGACACACATGCAGAGATTCCTAATCCTGCAAAGCTTTCATAGCAAAGTATCCAGTAAAAAAAATACCTTTCTTTATTTCATAACTCTTAAGTAAATCAATTAAAACAAATGGATAATTACAGTTTCTTTTTTGAACACATGCCATTATTTTGGGGATCTGTTAAAACAAATCTTGTTGGTCCCCCACTGACTCCAGTGGTTCCTTGCATAAATTTGGTCCCAGTTAGAGACCAAATTTCAACAGCAATAGAACATAGATATTGTGCTTGCATTAGGCAAGTCCTGAAATAAGATGGAGAAGGAGAAAGCAGTGTGTTTTTAAAGGAAAAAAATAAAGCAGTCCTCTTGCCACAGATTCACTCTACTATGAGCTGATAAATCAGAATTCATTGGCAAAGCCACCTTGCTATTTGGCAGGAAATAGTGCCACCATTGTTTGATCCTGGGCCAGTTATATTGCAAAGCTACATGTCCACTGAATCGGGGGGGGGGGGGGAGGAAGGGGGAAAATCTTGATGAAATAAGAGTCAATCTCACTGCTGCACGGAGTGGTGATGATGGATGTGGACTTTCAGAGATGCTGAACTTGCTTGGCATGTGAGCTAAAAACATGTGGACATGCTTCAGATTGGAATTCAGCATTCTCTCCTGTTGTGATAAGACGGATTTTGTCATTCAGATGTGCACACCGGTGCTGTTTATAGGTAATACAGTACCACTGAAAATATCTTCAAGAACCTTTGTTTTTGTTTTTATGTCCTATTTTGAGTGTGTGGTGTTGTTTCCATTATGATGGGTATAGGCATTTCATTTGGTTAACTGTTTTCATTGCTTGTGTCAGAATATAAGTGCAACATTCATCAGCATCTGATAATTAGCCAAGATGCCTTCCAATTTTTTCAGGATAAAAGGGAAAGCAATTCTGTAATTACCATCAGACAGCTAGGAAAGTGACAGCCAGGAGTTTTTGAATAGAGACTAATTTGGGGTACAAAATGCATGAATTGCTAGTGGAAAGAAAGAAGTATAGACTGCTAAAGGTTTGTTTCATTTAGCATGTTTGGTTTTAAGAGGATTGCAAATTAACTAATCTAAAAAAAGAAAATTATTCTCAATAGTCAGGATGGTTCATGATTCAAATTTTTTCTTACAGAGACAGCAGTTTCATAATGCTAAAATACATGAATCCCTACAGGGTCGAATATAGCCTTTAAATGAATCATGTTAGAACAGCAGCGATGATGGGTTGCAAAGTTTCTATTACTCTCCTTCTCTTTCTCCCCCCCTTCTTTCTCTCTCTTTTCTATTTCAATAGTTAATATTATTTAAATAGCGATATTTGATACTTTGATATTGGAAGAAATTGTGATTACATTGATAAGTTCAGATGAAGCAAAGACTACCGGTAGCTTCCTAGTTTAATGCTGAGTGTAAGAAATGAGAGTGGTAAAATGGAATGTGTACATAATACAATATGCTGTTATGAATGTAGATTATTAAGACGTAATTATTAGGATGTCAAGCAAAAATAATTTTCATCAGGGCATCGCTTATTCCTGTTTCAAAATATGAAATGAGTTGCAGAAGGTTATGAAAAAAGCAGTTCTCAATAACATCTTTGTTAACCAAGAATAGCTAGGAAGGATTAATGTGTCTATAATATTCTCTTAGTTACTGAAAATTTTGTACAATTAGTAAAGCTATTAAATAGAAAATTTTGTACAGTAGTTTTAGAGTGAATACTTTTTTGTCACAGGGATATTGAACATCTTATTCAATAAAATAACTGACTTATTTATCTAATTCTTGTCACTGCCCATCTCACAAACAAATGACTCTGGATCCTGTTCAACAAAACTAAAACAATAAAGCTAAAACTATTATCATTAAATTATTTCAAATAATTAAAAAACCCTATAAAATAGCTAAAACAAAGAATAATAGCTAAATGGATGATAATAATAAGAGATCCAGTAATTGACAGTGATGCTGATTTTCTAGCCATAGGAATCTTTATGCTGCAAAGTTTGTTCAAACCATGTTTTATAGTAATAGATGTTTTCATGTGGACAGCTTCTGTTTAAATCAGGATTTATTTTATTGGCAAAAGACTGAGGGAGATCATGCTAGGCTATGATATAAACAGTCTTCCAAAAGAAATGCAATGATATGTAACTATTGACTTTTCCTGATGAGTCAAAGATTTGCAAAACACTTTTTTAAAAATCAATTACTAGTAGATTTTCATAGTTGGGATTGCGTAAGAATCATAATTCTTCATTAGAACAGAAAGACTCAGCTTCTTACTGGAACATTTCTAAGCTGTTTGCTCAATTTTCTAGCAATGATATCCGCGTGTTGGCTGTAACTGTTTTGTGGATAACTATGAAGTGGCAAATATAGTATATAAGACACTACCAACAGTACTTAGATTGATTAAATCAGAGAGGAAGAATATTATCACAGGTAAAGAAAATAACATATTTTGCTTTAAGTATACACATGAACGCCACAAACCAAGCCAGAGAGAGGTCATTTATATCTGGTATCCAAGGAAGCAAGTACAGAAATGTGCTTCCTTTTCTGTGCATCCTTTAAATGTTGCTATAGTGACATTTCAGGATGCAAGTTGTATGATTCCTCCTGCCCTTGATCTAGATAGCCTTATTCTCCTTCTCCTTGTTCTTTGTTCTTTTATAATATGGTTCACAACAACAATAATGTCCATGTAATTTGGATGCAAGAGAGAAAACAATTTGATTCTTGTTTATTTCATATACATATCTAAGTCTCCAATATCCTACAACCCTAAATGGGGGAAATTACACATTTGTAAGATAAGTGGGGCAAAGAACATTTCTTAATGTCCTTTAAAAAAAATTACACATATTACAATATTTAGAGTAGTGGGATAGGTTAACTGAATATTTCCAAGCAGATGAAATACAGTTGTAGTTAAACAATCAGAAATAACATTAAGTCTACTTGATTTAAATCTTCATCTCTGGGATTTCTTTGGAATAATGGTTTCCATTATGGGTAAACTAAAATCCCACTCAGAATCATAAATGGATTCCTGGTAATTGATAATTGCTTAAAGAACCTTAATTTGTGATTCTGCAAGCCAAGGGAGCTCTCATACTTGGTCTGAAATATGGGAAAGTTATTTACATTTTTAAATCAAGTACAACATGAGGTAGTAAA